AGACGGTGACGCGGTGGCAGCTGGTGGCTCGTGCAGTTCAGCGTCCGTGCCTCAGTGCTGTATCTGAGGTAGGTAAGGTAAGGTAGGTACTCAAGCAAGTCAAGTAAGGTGCTGGCCTAGGTGCCTTAGTTAGGTACCTGCAGCAGGAAGACAGGTACTAGGGGCATGCCTTAAGGTTGATAAGGTTAGGCGCCTCCGTACTCGGGAAGGGGAGCAGGCCGCTGGGCAAGCAAGGCAAGATCGGGTGAGAAGAACTCTGCGGTGGACCCTGAAGCGCGCGACCGGCGGTGGATTCTCCAACGTCCCTGCTGTCCAATGTCGTCGTGTCTGTTGGCCCATGGCTCCTGCCGCTGGCCCATGGTTCCTGCCGTTGGCCCCTCCCTAGCCCCTGCCATGGGCCTCCCCTTAGCCCCCCTCGCCTCCCTCTCTCGTCGCACAGCCCTCTTCTTTGCCCATCGAGTCGGCCCAACTCTTGACCCAGACCCCGACCGGGACCCTGGAACACCCCCCCTTGCCGCCCTCAACCCACGACCAGTTTTGCTCGCCATCATTCGCATCGCTTTGGGGCGCCTCGGCACATGACAAATTCGCTGGGCGAGCCAGATTAGTCCTGTCCTGGCGAGTGAGACGCGCTTGATCAGTCATGTCGTCGGAACCGAAACATGCATCCATCCATCTCACGATACGTCATGTCATGATGGCCATCCCTCACCAACAACAACAACCCCTCGTCCGTCGGTCAAGCTGAAGCCCTATCTTTCCTTCTTCGGCCTGTAGGACGACGACGCTACGAGCAAGCTTTGGCCACGACGTTTCCGCAGCACTGTACTGCATCTTGTGCTCGTAGGTTCGACCTGGCATTACAACTAGACTTTGGCGGCCCGGGCCTTTGGCGACGAAGAACCAAGAAAAAAAAAACCAGAGACTCGCTCCAGCGTTGCACGGCATGCGTCCTCCAACCAGTCGACCCGCTGACAATGGGCCCCCAATCCGAGTCGCCATCATCGGCACCGGCCTGGCCGGTCTGACGACCGCTCACCTCCTGCAGAGCGACGACCAAAATCGTTATGCTGTAACCCTCTTCGAACAGGTAAGTATTCAGCAGCCTCTCTTCTCAGCCCCAACGCAATCCAAACCATGGGGGGAAACTAACGCATTCTCAGGCCAACGGCCTCTCGTTCGACTCGGCCTCGGTCGCCGTCCGCAATGAAGCCACCGCCACCGTCGAGCGCATCGACCTCCCCATGCGCGCCAGCGCCGGCGGCTACTACGACAACCTCATGCGCATGTATGCCCACCTCGGCGTCCCCCTGCACCCGGTACGCTTTCTCTTCGTCTTTGCCCGCGCCCTGGCCGACTCGGCGGCCGCTGCCGCCGCCGCCGTCACGACCTCTGGAGAGCGAACTCAGAAGCAGCAGCCCGTCGGCGCTGCTCCGGGCACCTACTTTGTCCACGCTTCCAACCTTCACCAGACGCCCCCTCCACGTCCCGCCCGTCACAGTCTCCTGCGTCACTTCCTCGAGATCCTGTTCCTCATCGTCTGCCAGCTCTGGTTCTCCCTCGCCTGCTTCCTCGTCCAGCCCAAGGAAGCCACGACGACCACCGGCACGGGCAGCACAGCCGAGTCCCTCGACGGCTACCTCCGGAGGATATGCATCCCCCGCCGCTACGTCACCCACTACCTCCTGCCCCTCATGGCCAGCGTCTCCACCTGCTCCCACGACGACATGCTTGCCTTTCCTGCCAGCGATGTCGTCAGCTACAAGTGCCGCTCCCATGGCCAGCAGCATTTTGCCGTCTGCGGTGGCGTCAGCCAGGTCCAGGGTCGCCTCGTTCGTGGCATCAACGACGTGCGGCTCTCGACGCGGGTCCTCGCCGTCGAGCCGTGTGCCGACCGTGAAGCTGTTCTCGTCAGGTCGCAAAAGCTGGGCGGCACTGGCCGTGGCGAGGACGAGGCCCAGGAGGACGAGTTTGACCGTGTTGTGCTTGCCGTCTCGCCAGACGTTGCAGGCCGGCTATTCAAGCCGCTGCGATCCGCCGTCGAGAGGATCCCCGTGAGACAGGTCGAGAGCTCGATCCTCACGCATGCGGCCGAGGCGGGCGGCGCACCGGCGCACACCGTCGTGGACGGCTACCAGGGCGTCAGGGGCTGCATGCACCACGACGAGGGCGAAGCATCGCCGTCGCAGGTCATCACGCTGCGGACGGCGGTTCAGCAAGATGGGGCGCCGACTCGGAGGGCGCTGCACGCCATGCCCCAGCGGCGTCGTCGGTCAGCACGTGTCCGCTCAACCGCCGCTGCCGACGCGAAGCGCACCGCTGCACCACAGCCAGAATTCACGAGGACGTTTGCGGAACGACAAAAAAACAGGCTTGTAGTGAAACAAAATTAATGGGGGGGTCCGCGCCCCGCATAAAAAAAAAAAAAAACGGACGGGGTCCCAGTCTTTCGGGGGGTCAGCGGCGAAGGCAAACT